ATATGTGTCTGGAGAATCAGAGAAACTCAGGCGAATTTTCAAGAAAACAACACATCCCTGTGTTTTTTTAAACCCAAGAACACGTTAATACATACTGGTACACACCCCAAAGACCGCGCACCCAAACACAAGAAAAGCAATCTAGTGTATGCAATCCAATGCAGTGAGGAATGCACAGAACTGTACATTTGGGAAACAACCACTACACAAAGGCATGGCTCAACACAGAAGGGTCAAGACTCAGCAGTTTATTTACATCTGAAGGATAAAGGACACTCGTTTGAGGACCACCAGGTGCACATTTTAGCCATTTACACTTGGGTTGAGAAGCCGTCGCTGAATAGAGGAGGGGGTCTACGCCACCACTTATCCCCACTTGCAATGCTGTCCTTTCAACACTTCCGAGGAAACTGAAAAAGCATTTCCTCTTGGCCTCAGGTGAAGATGCCAATGATATACAATCTATGGTTCAGACTTGGCCACGTGTGGCTCTAATGACCATGACGACTGTCGTTAACGTTACCACAGCCAGGAGCACTGAAGAACCAACGGTATCAACTATCCTAGCTAACGATCCCACAGAGGTTAAATAGCTGAATTTCCCTACCAGTCAGTCAGAACTGAAGAAGTCTCTTGGATGACGGAGCTGCACCTTATTGTATCTTGTATAGCACTCGGGTGATATTTGTGTTGGTAAAGCAGTTGTCTGGTTGTTGGTCTGATGTTTGCTGTATGACACACTTTGAATTTCCAAAAGGACTAATAAAGATTTATCATCCTCCTCTTTATTTGTCCCCTCCACCGTTTAAACTAAACCGGTGCTCTTGCACTTCAGGAAAATTACCCCAGTAATTTTACTACAATGCAAGAAAATAGTATCTGTGTTGACACAGACTTTATGGGGGGACACGTTCACAGTAGGTTTGGTCTCCCAATTTAGGTTATGATGTGGAGGTTGACAAGGCTATGTGGAGGCTGATCACACTTCTTCATGGATCATGATTATTGACTTCAATGTTCATCCATAATGCTAAAATTGTGAGTTTGGCTGTTGAACGTTTTAAACAATTCCTGAGGATTGAGAAGTGATGACCCCAACCACTGTGGTGGACTTCTTAGGGCCCGTGTCCACCAAAGCGTTTTTACAACCTGGTAAAAACGCCAGCAGCGTGACGAGGCGCTGAGTGTCTTTTCCATGCAGGGCGCTGAGCTTTTTTTCCCAGCCGCCAAGAGCTCAACTTTGCACTCGTCACTGTCACTTTTAACCCAGTTGTCCAATCACAGTGCAGGAGGGGCAGGACAACATCGCACCAGGCACATCCGATCTTGAACGAAACGATGTGCCTGCTCGCCGAGGTGTTTCCTATCCAGCAATATTTCATGAACGCACGTACGGAGAGTCTGTCCTCTAATGTTTCAGCCTTCTCTTCATGCAAAGCAAGGGCCAGAGCAAGTAAACCTACATACTTTGTGGTCCCATTTTTACATTCAGTAAAATTAAGTACCCACTGCGCGTCCTAAACGCGCCCTAGCGCTTCCAGCTAGGCGTTTTTAGAAGAGCAGGTGGCGTTTTCAGCTGGTAAAAAACACTTTGGTGGACACGGGCCCTTAGGATTGGGCGTGGGGGGGGGCGCCAATTTCAAATCTGGCCTAGGGCTCCAACATTGTCAGAACCGGCCCTGCTGCAAACCCAAACATATGAAAAGCAATGTAATGTGTGCTGTCCAGTGCAGTGAGGAATGCACAGACCTGTATATCAGGGAAACTAAACAGCCAATACACAAATACATGGCTCAATACAGGGCTAACAACTCAGGTCAAGACTCAGTTTTGCAGTTTACCTACATTTAAAGGACAAGAGACACTCTTTCAATGACAACAATGTACATATTTTGGATCGAGAGGACTGATGGTTTGAAAGAGGGGTGAAAGTGGCCATTTACATCAAAATATAGAGACCATTGCTAAACAGAGGCGGAGGGCGAAGACTCCGCTTATCCCCCACTTACAATGCTGTCCTTTTATGTCTACTCAAGAGAGTGAACAAACATTTTTCACATTTGGCCTCACGTGACTCCAGCCACACAGACTGTCACCCAGGAACACTAACGGACCAAGCAGTATCCATCACCTTGTTTACAACCTCACAAAGGTTAAATAGTTGGTATTCACTACCAGTCAGTCGAGAACTGAGGAAGCCGCTTGGATGAGAGGCAAAACATCTTCAAGTATCTTCAACTATGTCCACTTGCCCTTGATTTTAACCTTCCTTGGATAACTATGAACTGGATGACCACACCACTTTCTTTGGGCTGTGTAGGAAAACTGGATTTTTTTTTTCAGAGCACACACAAAACGAGAGCTAGCAAACCATGAGGAAATATTTGCTGAGTTTAACTAAATGTGTATTGGATTACAATCACTACTATCCCTGTAATAATGTTTTTAACTAGGGAGGAGCTTAGATTACTCTTTGTTTTCTTGTGATTCTTCATGTGGTAGACTCGAGTCACAATCGTATATGGAGGGTGTGTGCCCACCCTGCTGATAGTAGTATAGTTTGTGGTTTCTGGTGCGTGTATGGCATGGCAACATAATCACATGCTGCTGACTTGAAGATGTCAGGACCCACCACTAGAGAGCGAGCTCTATTAACAGATTCCCCTCAGCAGAAAGGAGTACCATTTCCTGCTTCTCTGAAGGCATGGGATTTGGATTTCGATTAAGAATCACATAAAAGTAATTCCATGGTGGGTGTATGTATTGGTTGTCATAACTAAATTGTGTGTCCTGTGTATATATTGCTACATATCCCTTACTGTCATCCAGAAACCATGTCTGAGCTGTGTATAGCTGACATGAACTGACCCATCATCAGGTTTAACAACTTGCCTTATCCTTAGTAAGCCACATTCACGCACATCATTCACACAGAGGCACACACACAATTCCCCCCCTCCAGTGGTCCATAAACCTCCATGAAACCCCATTCTCTCTTTGTCTGCCTGGGCAGACTGCCAGCTCAACCCTCCCTCCCTTTCTCTCTCTCTCTCTCGCTCTCTCCCTGTTTTCCTCTGGATCTCTCTCTCTGTGTATTCTGTACATACCAAGCCAAGCCTCACAATGCTGCGTTTACTAAACCAAGTGGCTTTGAAATTTGCAGTGATGTTGCTGTTCCCAGACCTCCCTCTCTGTGGTGGGCTCACTCTGTGAGGCAGTGCAGCTCTCAGACAGCTCTGATGGCAGAGCGGGGCCAGGGGGCTGTGCAAGAGACGAAACCAACATCACCTGTTTGGGAAATCTAGTACAGCGGAGGATAAAAAAAGGAGGAGCAGAGTCTTCATAGAGCTGAGGTCTTGCTGTGTCTGCCCGTCCCGCCCTACTCTCTCTGTCTCGCTTTCTCTCACTCTCTCTCTCACACACACATGCACAGACACACTCTCCCCTTGCCTCTCCCTTATCCCCTCCCTGTTTGTCTCCTCCACTCTCCGATGCTGGTGTGGTGAACAGTAGGACACTCTCGGCTGAGCTGCATGGAGGCACAGGGAGGGGCAGGGAGCCCAGGTAATAGCCATTTTCTATTCTTTCTTATTTCTTGTTTAAGATGCATGTTCAAGATGTTCATAATTCTATAGAGAGTTTTTTTAATGGTGGGACTGACTATTGTTTGTCAGAGGAGCTGCTCTTAGATCATGTAACTACATTTTTTTGATTGTCTACTCAAGAGTTGGTCCCTGATAGATGTTAGATTTAAATATAGCACCGGTACACTATCTTTGAATATTTTCCTCATCAAGGATCCAGCTGTGGAGGGTTCATTTGTTCATTCAAGTGTCATGTTTAATCAATTACCAAGCAGTACAGGCCTTTTTATACCCACTCTCTGTAGGTCAACCATGCAAAGGCAGGACAGATTAAATCCAAAATGCAGTACAATAGTGGGCGCATATGGCCTTTGTGTAAAGGCCATCCAGAGGGGCCTGTGCTGGTAGATAGCACTGCTCAATGCCTCAGTGCACTATAACATCTAAACATTCAAAGGGCTGATAACTACATCTTAAATGACATGTCCAATGTGGGAGATTCTAACATTAGCTTTGATAAATAAAAAGATCTACATCTCATAATGTACAAAGTGAGGCAAAGCAGTAGAAGGGTAGTTTATTTCTTTAGTGTATTACATATTACATATTAGCTGCCTCTAAACCTGCAGTGTGTATTCAACCGCTAGTAAAATGTTGCTTTATTGCTCTATTGTACCTTGGGGCAAGACAATGTATCTGCAGCCACTGTAAGTAGCAATTTCAGCAGTATTTGTCTTTTTTTATTGGAGATGCTTTTGTTGTGCCATGGCTTTGTTCCTCTTATCATTGTTTACATACAGTATTTGAGCACTGCCCATGACAAATTGGGATATTATTTACTCATTATGATGGCATTGAATTAGAGTGCACATATTATTATGATGTATCACAGGGTCACAGTGTGATATCTGTATAACACTGCCTGTGTTGTGGCTGTTCTGAACCAACAACCAACCTGAATTAGGAAATTAGCAGAAAAGTGCCCTACTTGTGAGGATTAGAATTAATATTGCTAGAAAATGCTCCAAAACACTATAGACTGTTAATTATTTCTGGAGTCAACATGGAGTAACTTATTCCCAGTGCATAGTGATTTAGTCATCTATTTTTAGAGACATTTGGATGGAATTGCTGATTGCAGTGTGTGTTGGAAAATAAAACAACATTACTATAAAGTACAGATGATAGAGAGCAATCAGTGTGTACAATGAATGACCTGGCAAAAAGGGTGTTGTGATGTTAATCCCTCCTGCATGTGCTACAAACAACGATTGATTTATTGAACCGAGACACTGAGTTTAATTCAACTTTTGGCAAACGTACAGTACATTATTCTCATCCTCCCTATCGCCTTCTCTCTCCATCTGTCTGTCTAGGGTTAGCTGATTTACAGACAGTCACAGCTGACGGCTCGAGACAGGGTCAGCCATTGCCTGAGAAGAACTCATTTCTGATTTTTTCTTTTTTTTTTCTTTTTTTTTTTACCAGAAGTGACTTATATTCTTGTTATTTACTCTGGTTTCTTCACAGCCGCTTCAGCAGGTGGCAGCTATAACAGGCCATCTGTGTAAACATGTCCTCCTATACATAAGGATAGTACTGTGACTTTCTTGAATGCGCTTTTCTTCTGTCACCGATTAACGTCCTCGCCGAGAGCCAGAATCATCTTCCGCCAAAATACTAAACCTTTTCGTATATATGAGCAGACAAAGCCTTAGAAAACTGTATAATCAGAACAGCAGGAACCATCTACCTAGATAGATAGATAGATAGATAGATAGATAGATAGATAGATAGATAGATACTTATCTCGAGGGAAATTCACACGAAACATACATTCATTAAACATACATTAAACCTATATTAAAATAAAATTAAAATTAAAATAACTTATAATACAGTAGCCACAGTGAAACAGTGCAGAACAGTAAACAGTGCAAATGGAGTGCAGATGAAAGTAAAGAGTGCAGATTTGGGACAGCAATCTGACACTGAACACACTCCTCTGCCCGATGAAGGTGTTGTGCGGAGGGTGGTGGGCGTTGTCCAGTATGGACAGCAGTTTGTCCAGGGTCCTTCTTTCTGCCACTGTCACTAGAGAGTCCAGCTCTGAGCCCACCGCTGAGCCAGTCTCCTCACCAGTCTGTCCAGCCGACCGGCATCTCTCTTCTTGCTGCTTCCTCCCCAGCAAACTACAGCGTAAAAGAGGATGCTGGCCACCACAGACTGGTAAAACATCTGCAGCAGTTTTTTGCAGATGTTGAAGGACCCCAGCCTTCTCAAGAAGTACAGACGGCTCTGCCCTTTCCTGTGGAGAGTGTCCATATTTTCTGTCCAGTCCAGCTTGTCATCCAGCTGCAGCCCCAGATATTTGTAAGTCCTGACACACCTCCACATCGACCCCCTCGATGGACATGGGTTGGAGATGTGGTTTCTTCCTTCTGAAGTCCACCACCATCTCCTTGGTCTTGGAGGTGTTCAGCTGCAGATGGTTGGTCCTGCACCACCTCACAAAGTCCTCTACCAGGCTCCTATACTCCTCCTCCTGTCCATCCTTGATGTAGCCAACTATCACAGTATCGTCTGAGTATTTCTGCATGTGGCAGAGCCCGGTGTTATACTGGAAGTCAGATGTGTACAAGGTGAAGTGGACGGGAGAGAGCACGGTCCCCTGTGGTGCTCCAGTGCTGCTGACCACCATGTCTGACGTGTGGCCCTTCAGTCTGATGTCCTGTGGTCTCTCTGTGAGGTAGTCCGTAATCCATGTCACCAAGCGTGGTCCACCCTCATCTCTGTCAGCTTGTCTCACAGCGCCGCTCACCTTGTCCAGATGTGAGTAGGCTCTGTGGAGCAGATAGAGGATGGCATCCTCCACGCCCACCTTCTCTTGGTATCCAAACTGCAGTGGATCTTGTGCATGGTGAACCTGGGGTCTGAGGACATGTAGCAGCAGCTATTCAAAGGTCTTCAGATGTCAGTGCTACTGGTCTGAAGTCACCCGGCTCCCTGGGGTGTTTTTTCTTGGGAACCGGGATGAGACATGAAGTCTTCCAGAGCACTGGGACCCTCCCCAGCTGCAGGCTCAGGTTGAAGACATGCTGGAGTGGCCCAGTTCAGCAGAACAGGCTTTAAGCATCCTTGGACACACTCTGTCCGGGCCTGCTGCTTTCCTTGGACAGAGCCTCCTCAGCTCTCTGCTCACCTGATCCTTGGTGATGGACATGGTGGTGGCATTGGGGGAGGTGATGGACATGGTGGTGTGAAGTGGTCCATGCTGGTTGTGGGAGCTGGAGTATTAAACCTGTTAAAAAAAAGGTTTAGCTGGTTTGCTCTCCCAGCATCCCCCTCTCCTGCAATACTGTACGTCTTCTTGCTGCCTGTGATGGTTTTCATGCCATCCCAGACCTCCCTCATGTTGTTGTGCTGCAGCTTCTGTTCTACCTTCCTTCTGTAGTCCTCCTTCGCCTCTCTCAGGTGGACCTTGAGTTCCCCCTGTACGCGCTTCAGCTCATCTCAGCCCATCCTGAATGCCCCCTTCTTCCTGTTCAGGGTGTCCTTGACATTACTGGTGATCCAGGGCTTGTTGTTTGGGAAGCAGCGTACCGTTCTGGTGGGGACCACAACGTCCATGCAGAAGTTCAGGTAGTCAGTAGTGCAGTGTGTGACTCCCTTGATGTCCTCATCATGTGCTTCCTGCAGTCAGTACATTCAAAGCAGTCTCTCAGAGCCTCCGCTGCCTCAGGAGACCATTTCCTGAAGGAGCGTTTGGTCATGGACTGTGTCTGGATCTGTGGTTTGTACTGTGGCGTGAGCAGGACCAGGTTATGATCAGACTTTCCCAGTGGGGGAAAAGCAGTGGCAATGTAAGCTTCCCTCACATTGGCATACAGGAGGTCTAATGTCCTATTCTTCTACCTATGGTCTAAACAAGAGTAATTTCCTGATAAAACATAAATAGCTCAAATGGTAAATGTTTTTATGAATGCATTGCAACTCCCACAGCTCAATACTCTTGTGGCGAAAAAATTATTTTACAGTTAATGGAAAAGATGAGGATGATAAACTTCCTTTAAGCAGAGGTGGAAAGGTCAGGAAACAGTAATCCATGATTTCTAAAACGAGTGTTTGGTGAAGAAGGTGATGGAAATAGACCAAAGCTGCAGGGAGTCTAAATATTGAACAAACATTTCATTATAACAGCAGAGGTAACGCTATAGTCTTTCAGTCTGTGTGACTCCTCGCTGGGGAAAACAATCAATTGCCCTTAATGAATACTGTGCTTCTCCTGCTGAAATCAGAATCTGTCATATTCTGACTTGGCTTTGGCTGTAACAGGCTTTTAATTTGATATGAGAAATTCAACTGTCTAGGAACATACTGCAAGTAGAAATAGCTAAAACCAGCCATCTGGTGAGGCCCATCAGAAAGCTGCTATACTCCCACACTGCTGCTATACTCCATCAGCTCTGCGTGTTATCCTATAAAAATCTATACTTCCAAATGCTGCTCCATATACACACAGATTTATAATGTTGTTATAGTTTCCTGTTAAATGTATTTTTTAATGGAGTACAAGTTTATACTGTTCATATCACTGGAAACTCATGTAGTTTGTGTTGCAGTTATTATTTCCTGCATTTTTCAATTAAAAGTGCAGCACTTCTGTACTTGTCCTTACGTCACTGAGCCTCATCACAAACACCACTGTATTTTCAGCTGTGTCAAATAGGTGAGAGTGCGCATTCTCCTGCATTTGAACGGATGCTATTTTAAGCACCTTCTATTTTCAAAATTTGTTAATAATACTGTGAACTTGTTTTTCTATTTTGAATCGATGTTGGAGATGTTTTTTCGGCTGGCTTGAGGGAAGAGCATGATCAGGCTCTCAGAAAGCATTTTCTTTATAGAAAACGTTAAAATGACGATAATGTAACAACTGTTGAATTAGACTAGAATCACCTAGTGAGCCTAGTGAACCTTTAACTCTGTCTATACACATGCACACAAAGATGCAAAATGATATTGATTCTCATGTGTTGACTAAAGAATGTATTCAAGGACAAAACGGGGGGAAATGATTGTAAAATCGAGATAATCAAACAATACATGGGCAGGTGATGCAGTTAGCTGGGGAGTCATGGCAGGTTGAGATTCTGTAATTGATTGGGAAAACACAATATCGGCTGTACAATGAGGATAATAACTGAATGTGACACATAGCGAATATTGAGTTCTTTCACTAGTTGGGATTTCTTAAAGGATTTCTTCCCCTTCAATACCTCAAGATGTGCCTTTGTATTAGATCTAGGCCTGAGATCTACAGTGAGTTAAGTAGAGCAAATAAGCCAACAGCTCTAATGTAATCTTTTATTAAAAATCCAAAAAGCCATCTTTTTATTCTCATTGCTCCCTCCCACTCTCCATTCCTGTGTCCTGGTAGAGCCCAATAAAGACATCCAGAAGCTGCTGAAGCCCTCCAGCTCAGGTGACCTATCCAAGGAGTTGTTCCAGCATCCGGGGGGGGAAGGGGAGGAGGGTGGCCTGTCGGGGCACACTGCTAGCCTGCTGCACATCACGGAGAAGAGACGTGAGTACCTGGGGGAAGGGGTGACAAGAAGTTGATATTAAGAGTGTGAAACAGTGGTGACGGTGATGAATGTTCATCAATGTTAAGGAGTTGTTAGGCTAATCATGGGTGGAAAATGCCTTGAGCAAGATACCTAATCAATAGAAAGTGTCTCCAACAAAGAAGGTGATGAGGAATGTTAAATAAGGAGGGCAGAGGATATCTTGCTTCTGCTAAAAACATGTCTTATCAGTGACAGTCACTTGTGGATCTTTACTGAAAAATAGTAATACTAACACATAATGAATCTCCTGAATAGGCCTGTGGAGCGTTAATGCATTATTGACACACATTTCACACATATCATTCTGGACTATATACATCCTAATCCAGTAAGTTCAGGTTGATGTTCTCTGATGTTTAAACCCACTGAAAGATCACTGCCTGTTTGAGGTATTCTGGTCCCACATTCTCAAAGACCGCTGCAGCTTATCCTTGGTTGAAAGGACTCATTGTGCATCAGTACCATACAGAGGCTTCTCTGTACGTGCCTCACTCAGAGACCGGGGCATAGAACCACAGAGACGGATACTGGGGCTACATGGGTGACAAGGCCACCTTTATCTGCTTCACTAACCAAACGTTTTTTGTGACAGCCTAATGTGTATGTGTGTCTCTGTGACCTACTAACTAGCCATGCCACCTGACAGGTCAGCTAATAGTATTTAGCTATGAAAGATCATTGCTGCTTCAAATATTCACAATGTGCTCTTCAAATCCCATCTTGAGAGAACATGTAAACAAAAGTATTATCCCTCTGATTGCAGTACATTCATTCTGACCACTTCATTAAGAGATCAGGAATCAAATAAAAACACGTACCTGCTCTTATCCACAGAGCCACATCACAGCTTCATCTTCAGTGGCACAGAAACACATTCCTTCCTAGTGCTGCAGTTTTGTCTCCATAAAGGGGGACTACAGTTGCTCCTGAGTCATCTGCAACATTTATTTTTAGGCCCAGAGCAAAGAGCGTACCTTAAAAAGACAAACATATTAATATCGCAGAAAGAAGAAGTTGTCAGTTGGTTTGTGGCAGTTAAACCACTGAAAAACAACAACATGCACTAATACACACAAACCCATATAAAACTGCAGTGCGGATAAGTTGCCTTTTGTTTTTATGAGTGGGTGGATGTGCAGGAATTGAATATTAAAAATTTATGGTGACTGCTATTTAGTACTCTGAGAGCAAAAAAGTGTGTTTGCTTGTTTTGACCTTTAATAGCAGAAACCACGAGTCAAAGGGAAGAACAGAGAAATGTGGGATTAAGTACATTTTATTATACCTTTTAAATTTAAAACGTGTTGCACAGCTTGTTTTCAGTAAACCATATTCATCAAACATTTTTGGTTAACTTGCCTTCATCAGGGTGGTGAATAAAGCATGACGTACTGAGAAGAGTTTTGCAACATGTTTTCATTTTGATGGACTTGCACTAAAGCGCTCACTGGTCTGCACTTCGGTGTCGGTGCGTTCTCAAGCCACAGCCGAGAGACCTCTACCTCCTGAGCCACAGCCATGTGAGCAGGTCGTCCACTAATCATAAGGTCGTGGTTCGATCCCCAGCTCCTCCAGTCTCCATGTGCCCATGGGAAAGATGCTTAACCCCAAATTGCACCCTCTGTGAGTGTGTGTGAATGTATTAGTTACCTGCAACGGACAAGAACTGGACCTGTTAATGATTAAAACTGTCGAGTGCCTGTATGCTGTCATTGTGTCATAGTCAGATTATGGGGAGGGAAAATATTTTTTGGCATTGCTTGGTCTTCCATCAGAGTCATCATCACAAGCTGCTCAGGCTGGACTGATGACCTTAGAGACCCGATGAGCCAGTAGAGAGGGAAGGGGATTACACAGATCCAGCATGCAAGGCACATCCCTTCCGCTCTCTCATCCCTTCTCCCAAATGTGAACTCTTCCCTCTTACCCATCCTCCCTGTTCTTTGTTCCTTCAGTTCGATCTATCTGTACCTTTCTACATTCAGAGAGAGGAAAGGAAAAAAGGGAAAGAAAATGAAAGAAAACCCCTTTTATAGAACGTCAACTTGACAGCACGCAAACAATTATTTTTCCGACAGTGATATTCTGAATGAAAGAAAACCTAGTACTTTTCAGTAAATTGAAGGGCACTTTATTTTACACGCATTAACTGTAAAGCCATGAATATAAAGTACGAGATTAAGGACATGCTAAAAAAATGTAATGTCATCATGGAGGAGTCAAAATAGATCAGTAAACACAAATAAAATTTTACAAGCCACCAGGCTGTATATCTTAGTGTAAGAAGAGGTTGTAGTCTTTTAAATCATCCATCTGCTGTAGACAAAAAGTCATTTTTTTCAGTCTCAGCGTGAATTCTCTATTGTCAGTCCTGGCATCTCAGAGCTCCCCCTGATTGGCTTTTTGAGAGGCAGTTGTTTCTGCCTGGGAGAGAAAACATACTGATCAATTATTCAGAAAGAAAGGGTGTGGGAGAGGGAAAAAAGAGATGGGGGAGAGGTGGTTAAAAATTAAGCACAGCACAATGGGAATAATCTTGTAAACCATTTGAAAATAATGGCAGGAAATAATAGGGGTATTTTTTATATAATGCCTTTCTTCCTTTTCATCTACTTTTGATTCCCCTTGTATTCTTTTACATGAACCTTCTTACGCAGCTTCATCTCTCAATCTCCCCCCACCATCCTGCTTTTTTTCTCTTCCTCTCCTCCTCCACAATTTCCATCCTCCCTGTTTCTCTGCCTACAGTTTCTTCACTCTTCCCAATAGGGGGGCAAAATGACTGATAGCTGTTCAGCAGGCACCTTCCAGCCGGAGGGAAATGCAATATATATTCACAGACACAGTCAAGAAGCAATCTGAAATTATGGAAAATATGAAATGAATAAAACAAAACAGGTTCTATGTGATTCTTGTCGACCAAAAGTTGCATATTGCAGTGTATCTTCACTGAATCAACCACCATCAAACAACAGACATTTAATTATATGCGATAGTTAATGGTGTGATAATGAAAGCTGGTTAGGTTCACCCGATAATGAGGTTTCATGTTGCCCTTTGCCTTCAAAGGGATAATGTATTATTTTACTGTACAGGTATAAAGGACACAACTACAAAAGTTTATTACATTCACTATCTATTCTCCAAAAAAGAGCAATAAGGATTATAAATTATTAAAATTCATAGATCTTATGAAATATAAAACAGCCCAGAAATATTCAAATATTGTTCAGGGAGAGAGAGGGAGGTTATAATTTAAGAGGGAAACACAATTTCAAAACAAACAGGACAAGGACAACCAGGAAAGGTTTTTGTATTTCAGTCTCTGGAGTAAAGCTATGGAACAGTCTCAATGAGGATCTAAAGCAATGTCCAAACAAAAATCAGTTTAAAATCAGGGATAAAGATATGGTTTTCATGGGTTATAGGGATGAAGAAGGGGGTGAATAATCAACGAGTGTTTTCTGGGGCTAGTATTTTCAATTTTGTTGTTATTATTTCATTTTTTCTGGGTTGCTGAAATTCATTCTTTCCTTTTTTAAATAATTTATGTACATTTTGAATTGCTTTTGGGTATGACAAAGTAGATGTGTAAATATTTGGAAGGGTAGATTATTTGTAAGCATTTGATTTGTGGACACGAGGTAGAATCAAATAAGTTTGTTTTCTTCTTCCCTCTCCTTTTCGAATATGTAAGGAAATTGACAAGAGTTTCAAGAAAATTCTTTGGCTGTAACTATTATTAATTATTTATTATTGTGTTATTTAATCATTTTGATTTGTTTATTTGATTGCATTTTCTTGTCGGATGTTTGTGTTTTACATATATTCAAAGTAAACAATTAAATGAATGTGATGTGTTAAGCCACAGGCAGCTCTTTCCACAGTCTGATACAGAAGTTGGATATTGTCAGGATGGCAGAACTAGCTTAGTAACCAGGGGGTAGATGCTAAAACTGACATATCTCTTTTGGCAAAGGCTGGATTTTTAATCATGTGAGACTGACTGTAACTGGAAAGGGATAGGAGTCAAAGTTTCTATGATCTAAATAGGAATTGGTAATTGCATGAAAGATCACATTTAAAAATTACTTGCTTACAGCTTTATACTGGACGAACGACGGATCAGGATTTCTGGGGCTATTGGAGAGCCAAATAGGCTTATTGTTGACTTCGTCCTCAGACATCCAAACAGTGTGGGTTTGGATTTAGTAATATGAGGATAGAAGTGAACATGTGTATAACAAATCAATAGATGGGGACTAGAACGGAGCCCTTGGGGATCCCGCAGGTTTTTACATTAAAGAAAGATGAGAAATCACTTGTTTTATGGGAATACATTTTATTAGTATGTAAAATCTGGGGTGATATTTGTCAATATAATTTATTATTTGTCCTAAAGGTTTAACATTTAAAATGAGTAACATGGCACTATCACATCCATTCCTCTCTTTCCTGCTTTTTTCTCCTTCCTTAGTCTTACCTCATATTAGTTGTCATTCTCTGTCAGTCTTAATTCTCTCTCCTTTTGTAGACATGAATCTATGAATCTATGCTGGCCACACAGTCACTGGCTTTGGTAATATTCATGCTTGTCATATCTACCTGGGTTATGGCCGGCATGTAAACCTGTCCTGGTTATGAACATGACAGTAAAACTGGACTGTAGGACTGTACATTTTGAATAGAGCAGAAGTTATGGGGTGAAATGAAGGACAGGTGAGGTTGGTCTTTGCGTTTGATCGCCTTTAGTCATTTCTTATTTGTATTCTCTCATTGTCACTGCTTCCTTATTTTCCATTCCACATGTCGCCTGACATTTCTGGTTTGTATTTTTAACACTTCTGAAATGTGGCACAGCAGCCACTGCTTCAGCATGATGATCAGCCGTCTTAAAATCCATATGTGCTCGATCAGGAGGTACAATGCAAGGAATTAAATGAAGTAGCAGCAGGAGAGTGGGCTCTGCTTCTTCAGCCCATCTTAAACAGCCTGGAAAACAGCAGGCAAACAACGTAGCATAATAACAGCTTTCAACCTGTCTCACAACCCGTCGTTTTCTCCACAAGGTTACGCCCAAACAACCAGTGAAGTGTTCCATTCAGGCTTGACGTTGCCTGGCATGTAGGCATCCACTGAATCATAAGGAAATGCAAACACACCTCCATCTGCCTTAGTATAGTCTCCAAACATCTTTCTCACTGTAATGGTAGATTAGTTCAGCTCTGTTACACAGAATTGGTTCCTAATTTGGGTGATGCTGAGGCAAGCAGAGGTTCTTGAACCCTTGCTAGGATGTATTACAGAGTCTTTGAATATATTTCAATTTACATACATTACATAATATATTCAGCTTTGGAGGCAGCCTGATTGGAATGCTGAGCCTGGCGTGTCGACGCACACTAACCACATGTTGTGTACAGCAGTAGTGACCCGTGCCTGCTGAGGAATCAGAGCCTTGTGCAGAAATGAACAGGTGCAACACACCCAGGAGAAAGATGGATACCACAATGTGTTAAAGAACTTGCTATTTTCATCTCCATGAGCTTAAGTTCTTGCTTCAATTCTTTAGTCAATGCCTGTGTTTAACACACAGGTGTCAGGCTGAAACAGAGACACTCGCTGACTACAGTGGCGAGCTCAAGAAATCTCTTCTTTCTGATGTAGAGAGCACATAGCTTCACAAGAGATGAAAGAGTACTCATGTTCTTTGTTGAAATAGATTTTACAATAGTACAGTAAGAGCCAGTAATTGATCTGATTATGAGTACAATGGAGATTCAGGATTGGCATCACACAATGGGCTGTGTATTCAGAGTATATGCAGTTCCACTTCTTTTTGAGGAGTGGCTTTTTTTTCTGCCCTGTCAGCCAACACAGGTGTATAATTTTAATCAATTACCTTTCCCTGTTTTGTCAATATGCCTCGTAGAACCACTGAGTAGTGTGTCTTCTTTGGAGGTGCACTTTGACCTTCTGGATCTGACTGAGCTGACTGACATGTCTGACCAGGAGCTGGCTGAAGTTTTTGCTGACTCTGATGAGGAGAACCACAATGAGTCCCCAGCAGGTAAGGCCTGCAAAAAAAATTAAAAAAAAAAAAAATGAATGCACATGTTTTCACAATAAACAACAATAACTAAAATATAAAGGGATGGGGCAACATCTGTCATTGCGAAAAAAAAACTACATTCTCTTTAATGTTATGTAGTATACATACGGTATACTGTAAACAATCAGTACATGCACTGAACATTTTAAGTGTGTTGTTAAGTGTCAAAAAAGAGCAAATGATATTTAAACTGATAGCTTTTCCGTGAGCCTACAGGAGCTTTTCCTAAATTAAATTTCCTCAATACAGTCCTTTACCTCAGCTCAACTTTTTGGAGTGAAAGGAATGAAAAAACATCTGTGTAGGAGAGATGTTTGTAACATTGTGGCCAGGGTACTAAAAAGGCCTGCCGAGCCATAATGATTTGAAATGTCACGTTACTCCATTAGGGACTCATCAAATCATCGAGTCATGGATAAACTGGAAAGGTTAAACTGTTTAACTGTTAAATGTTTTACATTGTATCTTCTTAAATTGTTTGATTCTTATGGGAAACAGTTTTATTTAGATCCTATCAAATAATAACATTTTGAATCACAACTAGGAATTCAGTCATCCTGGAAAGCAGGAATGAAAGGAAACAATGTTGTGTTGAGCAGGGACTGCATCACACCAGGCAGAAACAAGCCAAATTAATCAAATACAGTAGACAGGCCTCATGCACATGTGCATATTGAAGAGGAGAGACCGTTCCCTCTGCATGTGTGTCGCAGCAGCAGGTACAGGAGAAAGGCCAGCATGTCTTTCTACAAAAGGAAGCACAAAATCTTTCCCATGTTTTATTTATGCCACGGGAGCCTCATCCTGCATGCGGACAGTGAACTCTCTACTCCTCCGACGCTCTTGCAGCATTCACACAGGATTTCATGCCAGCTCAAGATTTAAAGGGCCACTGACATTATTCAGACCGTGCCTTACAATAATCATATATTCTGTGCATGGACTGTTTAAAGCTTCGAACTTTACTTGATAAAAATGTCCGGCTTTCACAGCTAGGGGTGTGACCGGTTATCATACTTTGTGCGGCTGAGAATACATAGTGAGTTCAAAACCATTCACCATTTTGGTGACAGGGCTTACTGGTCTTGGTGGAGGTTGACCACATGTGTATGCAGAGATCTAACTCTGAATTTTTTTTAATCTACTGAAACACAGTGCTGGACAAAACAAACTGAAGACAATATTCCAGTTTATAATATACAAGGTGAGGATCCTTAAATAAGGCTCGCCCAGTTAATTTCTCACTGCTACTAGTGCTTAGACAGCTGTAGCGTGGCTGCCCCCATGATGGAGTTACTGTACCAGCTATATCATAGCAACATATTTACTTAAACCTGCAATAACAGATTGTTTGGACCACTCAGGGGTAGAGGAATCAAAATGCAAACACAACATTGACATCTTTACACATCCAACAGTTACAAAGCAACATTATGATTCATTTGGAATTGTGTTTCTGGCCACCTGGCAAATTTAAGTCCAATATTTGCTCTCCCTTTCCTTTGTTTTTGAGATAAATAACTGGCTCTTCAGTGCTAAATGCTTCGCTGTTTTCACCAGCTAGTTGCTAATTGTGTTTTTCAAAACCGTAAAAACAGCTATGAGCTGAAGCTCACTATAAAGCTCCTTAAAGCTGAGGGGGAACTGCAGATTCCAGTGATTAATTCTTTGTAGGTTCACCACATTGTTTACATTGTTATTTGATACATTGTTATTATAAAACAATATTGATTCTAGCTGCTTTAAACTGGATGGGAAAAGGTTGACCAGGCATCACTGTAGGCTGTTAACTTTAGATTTCAATGTCTTAAATGCAACACTTACAAGTGAGTTGTTAGTGTAGGGTTCAATGTCAAAGGAAAAAAAATAATGAATCATTTATTATCAGTCTTAATATTAAACAAATAAACTGGGTATTCTCCTTTGAATAGTGAAATCAAAGGATGTATAACATTGATTTCTAAATGAATTGATGACTTCGTAGAAAACGGAGTGACACACTTAATCCCACAGTAATTTGATTTGATTTGATTTGCATCATTAAATATCACATTATTCTGTGATTTGAATCGCTCACTCTTTCAATTCAGTTTGATTAATGATGATAGTTTTACAAATTTACACTTGCAAATTTGTAAATGTTGTGAGTCACTCAACGATAAATAAACGCATGGACACCAATGCTATTGTCATGAGTTGTAGTTTTTGCCATTTGTTTCTGGTGTCCTTCTGTTACCTACCTGTTCCTACCTGTTCTTCTCGTTTCCTTAGTGTTTATGTCTTGTCTGGTGTTCTAGCTCGTAGTCCTGTGTTGATTTGGTTTGGTAGTCTAGTTGTTATATTGTTTCTTAGTCACTGCCTTAACTCTTGATCCTGCGTTTTAGTTCTTTGTCCTTGTTCCCAGTTCTGTACCTTAGTTCATGTTAAGTGTTCACTCTGGTCTGTTTTGTGTTCAGTAACCTGTGTTCCGTCTGTTCCCCCGGTTGTCACTCTGCCTGCATGTCAGTCTCTCTATTTCCCTCTGCTCACTGTCTCTCTCTGCCTGCCTCGTTAATCTCATGTCCTTCACCTGTGTTGCTCCTGCCCTGCTCGTTAGTCCCTGTGCGTATATACGCCTGGTGTTTCTGTCTTGTCTTTGTCGGGTCATTGTATGCTGTCTCCTGGAGTTGCTGTGAGGTCTCCTGTTGTTTGTCGTGTCTCCCAGTCGTGTTACACTGCTCCCTTTGGATCTCTGTTTGGACTACCTTAGTTTTTGGACTCTGTATTCAGCCACTCACCTGTAAGTGTGCTCGCTTTTGGTTCGTTCATTAAAACCCCTTTGTACTGTACCTCTTCCTGCCTTGTGTCCTGCGTTTGGGTCCTCCAACCTGCCTCACCCACACCAAACCGTGACCGCTATCTCAAAGATTTTGACTTATGTTCAGGGCAAAACCTACAACAAACAAGTGTGTAAATTACACTAATGTGATGTTATATATATATATATATATATATATATATATATATATATATATATATATATATATATATATATATATATATATATATATATATATATATATATATATATATAATATATAATATATATATATATATATATATATAAAAATTTTTTTATCTTCCTACATTTTAAACCTATGTTCTCACAGCCGAGCAGACAGTTTTAGCTTATCCAACCTTTCCAGCTGTCCTCTCCAACACCATCACACTAAGTTTCCTCAAACTCTTGTTGATCAGGGGCCACAGCTGCTTTTTAGTTGCCAGGTGCAGGAGATGCAATAGCCAAGACCCTTCCAGTCCAAGGTCTCACATCCTCTGCTTTCTGCTAATGAAGATGAAGTCCTGCTGTCAGGAGATGTACAGCTGTACACCACAGTTATGTTTAAATGATTTAATTTCATTCCCAGCCTCAGATCTGTGAGAAACAAAATCCCAACAATGATAAAGTGTTTGCATACTCAGAATGACATTCAGATGACTGATCTGTCTTCACTGTCAATGATGACCTCACAATGAGCAGTGTCATTCACGCCAGTATTTTTACTTGCAAAAATCCCACATAAAAATAGACCAGCCATCTGAGAACATTTCTTTCTTATTGAAAGTCATTAACCTTCCGACAAAAGCTTGCCTCTCTATCATTTCCAATCTCTCGGTCTATCTCTCTCTTTCTTTCTCTCCATGTCTGATCCCAGATTGATGAAGCCACTAAGATTGCTGTAGATGATTTTTGTAAAGTCTGCAGGCAGATACTGTAGAGAAACTGTTTTGCTTGTATGGCCATGGCTGTAAGATTTACAGAAAATCACATAAGATCACAAAAGACATGAAACATTTTATTTGAAAATGTGTAGCTCAGCAGGTAGGGCATACACAACGTGAATTAGACAGGTGGCAAATGTTAGTGAACGCTGCCTAAGACTGCCAGGCTCAGTGTGGTTTGAACACCACTGGGGCTGAATGTGCAAGCACTTGCATGGAAATGTGGTGCTGTAAGTCATTTTGGATAAGTGTCCATGAAACAACATTTGATATATTATGCAGGAAAACAAGATGCTTGATTTGTTTTCCACCATACAGAGTTGTTGCCCTATCAAATATCACTTTGTCATTTGAAAATTCAAGCATTCTCATTATAAAAATACATTTTTCTTAATTGTACAACTTTATTTTAGATTATCTAAAACAGTAAAAATACATATTTCATACATCAACAAACATTCTATTGTCCCAAGCAGATGCTGTGCAGACAATGACAGTGGGGGTTTATCCTAACAGCGACTCATTACACAAATCTCATATGTTAGGACCAGCTGTTCTGTTTCATCTGGATTCAATAAAACCTACCTCATTATTCAGCCCTAGAATTTCATGCAAGGCGATTTTATTTTATTTTTTTTAAAGTCTTGAACAACCCTGCTGAAACCAAAATAGCAACATATTGCAAACTAAATTGTAATAAAGGTAGTGTAATGAACAAAAGTTGGTTTATGGACTGCAATTGAATTAACTTGTCAGAGTTTGCATTGCAATGTGGTAGTATTGAGCTGTGCTGTGAGGAGCAGTAGACCATGCTCTGGGAAACTGCTGAGTGTGTGCCAGTGTTTTGGGGCCATGTAGGAGTTGAAGGAGAGGTTAAAGGAAGCACAGTGAAGAGAGGAGAGGCGAAGATGGGTGAGTGAGTTCATGCTAAATGTAGGTTGCTGAATAATTCACAAGGCCTGGTGCTTCAGATCCATTTAAACAGTTAACATAATCTGAGTAACTACACTAGCACATTATTTATAGATGCTTGTTTCTTGTTTGTTTTGTTTACTCTGCTGTCTTTCTTTACCATGTTTCCTTTGTCCATTCCTGTGCACCCCTCTTTCACTTTCTGCTACTTGGCAAATTAAAGCCTAATTCAGATTAACATTCGTTCAGGGACAGTTCAACCAAAAGTAGTAAACATGATCAGTTATACTTAGCTATATATAGCTAGAACCCAGCGAGCCGAGAACATACAGTAATTAGTGTTTCATCAATCCTTTCTTTCTAGAAGGCACAGAACAAAAGGCTGACTTTGTCCAGTAGGTTTGCTCTTTGTCCCCCACTGAAATGAGCTTGATGAACCATAAAGTTTACCCACATCCCTGGAAAAACTACCACATGCGTAGCTCTGCCCTTCTATTCTTTGTCGTTGGAGCAGTAACAGCATTGTTAACTGATGACAGTGCAGAATATCACCTATTGTGTTTCTGCCTGGTTTATTTCCGTCATGTTCAAGTAATGGGAGTTGTGTTTTTAGGTATTAAGGATTTGGCCAAGGATTTCTTAAGTAGACATGTGAAGGGATGAAGTGATGCCGAAAATGGGGAACAGAAACTCATTTTCCATTCATGGTTTGCTAACTACACAGCATGTAATATACAGTATCATTCTCAAATCCTTTGACGGTTTATATTTGGTGTTTGCGTTGGGGGACAGAAAGATTTGACTGGAAAAACTACTCTACAACAGGAACCAGCAAAATTACAAGGGGCCACATTGTAATCAGAGATGAGATGGTCCATTGTATTTTGTTTCCAATCTGATATAAAAGACACAACTCCTGTAGTGATGTTATTGCTAAGGGTATAGCCAGAAGTGAAGCATGTTGTTAAGGTTTTAGCCCATAGGGTGGCAGTGAAGCAGCAGCTTTCTGTCTTGAGTTATTCTGTGGTGATTTATCTTGTAGGAGCACAATACCAATATTTTATGGACCATCCATAAAAGCTCCTTTGATGTAAAAGGTAAAATGCCAACTTAACTCACAGCCTTTGGGGTTGCTCCAGGCTTTTAAAGGCTTTTAAAGACTTGTTCCAGTGCACAAACACTGATTGGGCTGTGCTAGAATTAGCATACACAAAAGAAATGAGTGTTGTTTCCCTTAAATTGGTTGAAAGAGAAGGGTAGTGTCCCTAGCTCTACATGTCTGCATGTACATGCACACATATTCAGTAAACACAAATGTGGTGCTCAGTTGTTATCCCTTTGCCTTCACAGGTTTTCTGTAGGAGTCTATTGTTTCAGAAACATTAAGTAATGCAGCAACATGCTGATTGAAGAATCTAATGGCCATTAGCCAACAGCACAGAAGGAATACAGTACAGTATCCCATAGCTCAGGGTACTGTGTGTGTGTGTGTGTGACAGCAAGACAGCGAGAGGGAGAACAAGGGAAAATCTATGTATGTTTTCAATTATTTCCGTGAATTCATGTTCATGAGTCTTTCAATTAAATGTCAGGACAAAACAAGTGACCAGAAATCGGAACAATGCACACAGGGAATGGGAAAATTACCCCTCATACACACATATGCTCACATATTATGCAGAATGTCCACATCGCAGACACATTAATATAGCTATGTAGACACAATAAGCAGTCATCAGCAGGTGTTCATGATGCTTGCTGCAGCAGACTCCTTCATGCTGCTGAGGAGGTTGTTGCCTTTCTCATTACAATTCAGTGGAGACGCCATCAATCTCCTGAGATCAATATGTCTTTTACCTCCCCTTTTCTCTCCACTCTTTAATGTGTGTGTGAGGATATGAATGTGACTTTAGGGAGATATATAAGCCAGGTACTTACTATGTCCTTCGCTTAAGAGACCTAACATTAGAGATATGGACAGTTTAAGGCAGAGTAAGTTGCCAGCTCTCTATCAGTCATTCTGGTGTTGCTTTGTTGTCCTGCTAGTAGGATGGACATTACCACCAAGTGGTACAAAGAGGAACTGAAAGAGAAAAGTTCTCATATGGCTAACATTTAAATAAACAACAAAAGATTATTGATTATTGAGATAAGATGGCCAAGTTGTTGTGAGTTGCTGAACTATTTATGGTACATTTACTGGTTTTTATTAAGAGCTTTATGCTTCAAGATTCTTCTTGTAGATCATTTTAGATTCTTCTAAATAGATACAAACTGTTTTTTGACCCTTTTAGCTGGTCATGATCTCACTTTCACATTTTATAGGATATTATATAATAATAAGAAGAATAGGAGTCCCTAAAAATATAATCCGTGTGATCCCAGTATTCTTCCGAGGCCCGTCTAGAAATGGCATGTGTATGTGTGTGCGAAGGCATGCTACATAGACTAAAGGATGGCTGGGAGGGAACTAAGCAGCAACTGCATTTAACAGCTGAGCTCTGAAGACAGTTGTATATATGCTTTTAGCATATGTCAGGCGTAGAGTGATGTATACTAATGCCAATAAACAGGAGCATGACCTGTGTGCAGACTGATTTCCTTATGTCTGTTTTCGTATGATATAACAACGGTTTGGATTCCTGTTGGTAACAAGTGGTTGTGTGTTTGGTTCCCAGGTTCCCACCAGCCTGTGCTGCCCAGAGGTGGGTACATGCGCTCCCCCTCGTGGACACGCTGCAGCAAAGTGGAGCCCCCACGGGAGAGAAAACACCACAGCGACTCAGACACCGCAGAGCCTTAATGAAGCTGGAAAGGCCTAAGCAGCCGTGATATCTGAGGTGATACAGCCAGACCACAGAGAGAGAGAAAACCCAGAGCCAGAAGGACACAACCAGAGTGGGAACACAACGCGGACCAGAAGCCCCCATCTGCCACTGTGCACTCCATAATATTTCATGGTGCTGAACAGATGAGTTCAGGTTGAACTCTGGACAAAGTGCTCTGTGCTCTAACTACAGATGTTGAGATGTGCAATACACACACTGTCCTTCTCTCTCCCTCTACTCTCCTTCTTTCTCTCCCTCACACACACAGACACACACAAGAATTGTGTTTTTCATGCAAGGGGTTCTTAATGCACTCTGGGCTGACAGATGATTTTAAGCTTTGTTTTTTGAATGACAGACAGGGTATGAGGTAAGCAGAATAATAACAGCACCCCATTCTTATAGCCTCTCAGGGTGGGAAATAGCCTGGACAGCGAGATTGGTTCCTAAATTGCGTCCACAGCGTGTGCAGACCTTGCACATAAAGTTCAGACATTGGAATTCACATTGAATTACCGGGATATGATTTTAAAAAAATCAACAGTGCTGTTCAAAGGAAACATCATGCTGAGGCTCTTACTTAATGTGTTGGCTTGAAAATGAGACGGTTTGGGGTTTTTTTGTTTCCTGCAATGAAGGTAACTTCAGCAGAAGTGGACATCAGTGAGGCCACGCTCTTTATATCCATCACATTCTTCATCTTAATGAAGAATGTGTGTTGCTATCATAATTGCCTAAATGAAACATTGCACTTCTCTGAATTGTATCAACAGTGCTCCCCAGAATTATTGGCATTTGGTGCAGATGACAAAAGATAAAGAGACCAAGTAGCAAGCTATATGCACACTTTTCCATACTCAAAAACTTGCTTTCACAATTTGTTAAATGATAAAGAAATTGGAAAACATTTTTTAAAACTTGGTTGCTGCTACTAAGATAATTAGAGTTGGTCCTTCAAAGTTAACTTGATGAGGAATACTTGAAATAGTTAGACACAAAGGGAGAATTGCACCATAGTCTGGACGGCTTCAGTAAGCTCTGCATGAATGCCAAA